CTGATGATGATGATGATGATGACGATGACGATGACGATGACGATGACGATGACGATGACGATGACGATGATGATGATGATGATGATGATGATGATGATGATGATGATGATGATGATGATGATGATGATGATGATGATGAGAGGAGGGGAGGAGGAGGGGGAAGGAGGAAACGCTGGGCGTTGTCTCTTCAAAACGAGGACCCAACACCACAGGATGGTTTGAAACAAAAACAATTCAAATCACCTTGTTGTTTTTGAGAAGCCCTCCGAGCGCCTTCCTGCAGAAGGCGTTTGGAAGGTTATTGGAAGGTTGTTTGGAAGGTGTGTGGAAGGTTGGAACGTTTGTTGAAGGTGCCTTGAATGGTTCTGTAACGGTTTTCGAACGTGTGGAAGGTTGTCTTGTAATGTGTTTCAATGGTTTTCTGAATGTGTTGAGCGGTCTCGAATGATTTTGGGGGTTCTTGGAAGGCTTTCTGGAAGGCGTGTTGGAAGGTGTGTGGATGACTCTTTGGAAGGTGTTTGGAAGTTTGATAAGGTTTTCGGAACAAAGAACATCCAGAAACCCTCCTGAAGAAGGGGGGTTCAGTTTTGGCAGGAATCACTAGGATGGTTTTTGTTGAAGAAACCTTCTCCAAACCTTCCTCAGGAAGGTTTGGAGAAGGTTCCAAGAGGGTTTGGCCGAACTGCCGCACACAATTGCCCCATCCCCAATGCGCCGGGGATCCGTTGCGCCAGCAACGTGTGCAAATATCCCCCAGGGGTGAAGACGGATGCCGCGAAACCCGACGGAGACGGAACCTGTCCCCAACTGAGAGGGGCACGTCAGACGAGGGGTCCAAAATGTTGGAACAAGAGTTGATGCCCAACCCTTTCCGAACCCAAACTTTTATTTCTTTCAAAGTCTTGACTGGAAACGACGGGGTCCTGGGGACCGTCAACCAGGACATTGTCGAGAACCTTCGAAGGAGCCTAGGGAGACATACATAAAAATGAACGCAAGTCCCAGGATTCCCAATATGTTGTCATATGTTCTGGAGTTTCGTCCCCCACCCCACTCATGATATTTTCCTAGATTCTCCTGGGGATCGACAGTGGATTGCGTCTGTGTGTATTTCCCTCCCGGACTTCAGCATCCCACCTGGAGAGAACGAAGGATGGAGATTGGCTCGACCCACAGCTGCGGCTCTCTTGCTGGAGCCAAAACATACGGCACAAACAGAAGTTCTCGGATGACCGCGGGAATGTCTTGGATCGGCGCTGAGCTAGGACAAACCCATGACGAGAATAACATCGGGTGAGGATACATCGAGAATCTCTGAGATCCGGCAGATCGGCAGGATATCTCGGGCGCCGCGGTCTTCTCAGAACGTTCCAGAACGCTCTGGAACGGATTCATCTTCGTCCGAGCCCCGTCCGATGAACCCCCCTCCCTGGCGCGCGGAACGCGCCGTGGTCGGCGCCAGAGGCGCCGCCGGGGGTGCCCAGCGCCTATGCAATAAATCCGAACGGATCTCCAGAAACTGTACGTTTATGCAGTTGTGCCTCCTTCGGGGCAATGCCCCCTCGTTGATAAAACGGTCCGCGCCCGAAGCGCAATCAGAGACGCAGTGTGCGGCCCTCCTTGCCTGAAGGCATCCTTGATGGGGTCGGAGTAGATGGGGTCGGAGGATAGCGCTGCATCGCCGATACATCGGCGATGCACTGGCGATGCATCGGCGATGCACCAGCGATGCACTTGCGATGCATCGTCCACGTCGGCTATGCATCGGCGACGTCGACGTGAAGCAAATCGGCGATCGGCGATGCTGCGCGATGCTCCGACCCCATCTACTCGGACCCCGTCTGGGAGGCTTCGATTGCTAGTGATGCCGTCGATGGTGAATTGCTCAGGTCAGACCGTTGCGAAGCCGTCGGGCTCGAAGATCCCGAAACTGCGTGGGCCCCGTGGTCTCGTGGGGGCCCTCACGGGGGCGACACAAGAAATTGGACGCCAGGGATGATCTGGGATAACTGCGGTCCGGGGAAACTCCAGTTTGGACCCCGAGGCGCGAATCTTTAGTTGCCCCTGACTGCCCCCCAGTCCTGCTGACTCGGAAGGGTCGGACGCCCAGATGATCTGGGATATCTGCGGTCCGGGGTAGCTCCAGTTGGGGCCCCTGATGCGCGAATCTGCAGTTGCCCCGCCCCAATCCGCACCCAGCCCTGATGATTCGGGGCTCGGGTTGATCCCGAACGTGCGTTTGTATTTATAAGTATATATATATATACACACATTGGAAAATAAGCAGGACCCCCTCCCAGGGGGTTGCTCACATCTGGTGTACGCTCCTGGTACCACGCTTCCCGGCCTCCCGGGGAGCTCCCAAAATGCCCAAAGACAGCCCAAGACGACCCCAAGAAGCTCCCAGAAGGTCAAAGAAAGGCCCAAGACGCTCCCAAGCAACCCAGAATAGCTGTCGGGCGGCTCTCCAGGCTCCCAGGAGGCCTCCAAGAGACCCCAAGAGAGCTCCGAGAGGCCTCCCGAGAGTGCCCGGAGACCTTAAAATTGTTAATCTTCATTTGTTTTCCAGGATTTTTAGCCTTCTCACCACTTAATGCTTCCAAGACGGCCGAAGAGGCCCCCACGACCGCCCCGAGACTGCCCAAGAGGCCCCCAAGACGGACCCAAAGACGGCCCCAAGACTGCCGAAGAGGCGCCCTGGACAGCTCCAGACCACCCCAGAACAGGCCCAAAATGAGCCCAAGAGCGGGAGCAGGAGGCCTCCAAAGACCTCAGAGAGGACTCTTTGACCCTCCAGAGGCCTCCAACACACCCCAGACCCGTAAGAGGCTCCAAAAAAAAATCCGACGAGGCCCCAAAAACAGCCCAAGAGATCTTCGAGAGCCGTCCCAAGAGAGCCCGAAGAGGATAAAATCATTGCTTTCCAGTGGTTTTTGTCAGCGCTGTTCGCCTTCTCACGTTCTCCCGCTTCCAACGCTCCAAGACAGAGGAATTTGGAAAGAAATAGGGAATTCCAGATATTCCTTTTATTTTCAAGTTGGGACTCCTAGTCCCTATCCTCTTCCTCGAGCCCCATCAAGACTTCGGGGTCACATGCAAACATGTTTCGGGAATACTGTTGAACTCTCTGACGCTGTCTTGGCACTTTCTTGGATCGTCTTCGCGTCCTCTTGGCTGCCCCTGAAACCATTGTGGAAATCGAGATCCCATGATCCCTTGAGTTGAAGCCGTGGAACTTTGAAAATCCCTTTTTTCCAACTCACCCCTGCTTATTGTTGCCCGAAGACCCCGAAAGGCATCCCAAAAGACCGTGGCCTGCATGCAGAAAACGTTTAACCCACAGCCCAGGCACTACACCTTGAAAAAATAGGAATCCCAATATTCAGTTGTTTTTCCAAGTTCGCCCCCTGTCTACTCCTGCACAACAGACCACAATTAAGGCCCCAGAAAAAGAACCCAGGAAGCCTTCGAGGGCCTCAAATCGTTGAATATCTTACGGCGATTAATGATTGTTGCGTTTCCGCAGTTCCCCTTCTACATGATTCCGAGGCTTGCGCAAGGCATCCAAGAAAGTCCCTGGATGCAAGAAACGGCATGGACGATATGCCATGTGTTCGCCCATCAAGCCTAGCTAGAACTTGAGCGCGCGCGAAGCGCGCGCGATGGTGCTGGTCTATTTGTAAATGTATATAATACGATTCCGCATCATATCGGCGGTGGACAAACCTCCCTCTACTAAACCTCCCCTTAGTGAGAACGGCCTGGGACCGAAACCGGCGGACCTGGACCCGCAAGAACGACGGCCGCGACGCCCTCTCGCGAACCAGAACACGGCCGATTCCTTCATCGACGCGTCAGGGCAGGAGGCCTGTCCACCCCCGATCAGCAAAATATGAAGAAGAAGAAGAAGAACAGTCATCATAATAATCGCAATGACAGTAATGATAACGCGCGGGCCCCGTGGCTTCGTGAGCGCGCCCACGCCGAGCGCCGCCACACGGCGCCTTGCGCGGCACGGCTGCACGGGCGAGTGGGCGGTGAGCGACGGATGGGGCCCGGGGACCCCGAGCTGGAGGATGATGATGAGGAGGAGGAGAGGGAGGAGGAGGAGGAGGAGGAGGAGGAGGAGGAGGAGGAGGAGGAGGAGAGGAGGAGGAGGAAGAGGAGGAGGAGGAGGAGGAGGAGGATGAGGAGAATAGAATCCTCTCCCCTCGGTGCGTGCCGCGCGGAGGAGGAGGAGGAGGAGGAGGAGGAGGAGGAGGAGGAGGAGGAGGAGGAGGAGGAGGAGGAGGAGGAGAGAGGATGAGGAGGAGGAGGAGGAGAGAGGAGAGGAAGAAAAGAGGAGGGATGAGGGGGAGGAGGAGGAGGGGGAGGAGGGGAGGAGGAGGAGGAGGAGGAGGAGGAGGAGGAGGAGAAGGAGGGGAGGAGGAGGAGGAGGAGGAGGAGGGAGGAGGAGTGAGGGGGGCACCCATGGGGGCGGCGCGGCGGGCCCGCGGGCCTGCAGGTGCTCCCGCCAGCTCCGCCGCAGGTGCCGCGGGAGGAAGTCGGCCTGCGGCCGGCGCGGCGGGCCCGCGGCCTCCTCGCGCTCCTCGCGTTCCTCCTGCTCCTCCTGCTCCTCCTCCTCCTCCTCCTCCTCCTTCTCCTCCTCCCTCTCTTTCCTCCTCCTCCTCCTCCTCCTCCTCCTCCTCCTCCTCCTGCAAATTCTAAACCTCAGAATCCTCAAAATGCAAGTACGTCCTAGTACTTCTCCCTCTCGTAGTTCTCCTGACCGATCTTCCCCTGGAGCCTGCCCGCTTTCTATTGCGCGGTCCCCGCGCGCACCTCGCAGGCTCGAACCAGATTGGTCTATGGACGGGCCAAGGCTGCAACAGGCAAGAGTCAGCACTGCAATTCACACGCACTAAAAATTATTGTTGCCTGTTTGCCTCAGCCTCTCGCACGTCACGCGAGTCAGCCTCTTCAAATGACCTCCTCAGTCGGAGGTGGACGGGCGCACGCACCTAGCGGGCACCTTCTGCTCACGGTCGTAGGAGTCCTGGCGCTCCGCCTCCAAGGCCGTCATCTCGAGGCCAAAGTTGTTCTTCATCACCCGCAGCAGCGCATCGCGCTGATCGGGATAGTTGGACATCTGCTCGATGACTGACAACGCCGTGGTTGATAGCGCCTCCTGGTACGCCAGGTCCTCCTTGGGAAAATCTGGCAGCTCGATCTTGATGAACTCCGCATCCTCCCTCGACTCCTCCTGCTTGGTCGAACTGCCCGCCTCCGTGCCCTTGCCCTTGTCCTCATACGGGGGAAAACGCAATATCTTTGTCAGGTGTTCGCTTCCAGTCGGCATCTCCATGTTGCAGGACGGGTTATGGACGGTCGTCTCGAAATAATTCCTCTCCGGCTCACTCATCTGACGGATCATCGAGTCCTCGATAGCTGCTCCGGTCAACACCTGGACGTAATTCGTGTTGTTGTGGTATATCAGGGTCACTCTCATGTTCCGACTTGACTTCAAACCCGTGTCGAGAACTCCAGCTGGCACTTTCACTGTCATCTTACGCCCGGCTGCCACACAACTGATCATTCTCGGGTAGCTGGTCTCCGCATCCGTGAGGCTCTGGAGGAGGCTCCGTGCCGTCCTGGGCTCCCCACGTGCGGTGAAGCCTACCATTTGAGCCACCACTGCACAGGCGACTGATGGTGTGGGAGTCGGCAGTCGGTCGCTTGACTAACCTTCTCTGCGGAGTCGGCGACGCTCTCTCTCCGCTGCTGCTTCTTGTAGCGTACTCGACTCGTCTGCAAGCTGATGCACCCCGGATCGAACGCATGCCCTCAATAGGTCGTGGGCCTCGGCTTTTTCCTTGGTAAGGGCGTCTGCTAACATCAAGGACGTTGGACCCCACCTCAGAGTGCCTCCAAATATCTGAAGGGCTTGTCGGGCGATCATGAGCTCCACAGCACATCTTCGGTCCTCAAGAGCCCCTGGGGAACCTATCTTATTGATATGATCGTAGGCCGATTTCGCATCTATAATAGCAACAGCCTCGAACGGTTTCAGGAACTCATACCTCGTCTCCAGAGTAAACTGTGGAAACATACACCCTTGCAAAGAAACACATTACCCACTCCAGATGCCCCAGACCGTCGGCCAATGCAGAGGCCTCTCCACCCAGATGTGTTCTTATAGCCCGTTTGAGTCGGTAGCTACGCCAGATAAGAGGATTCCATGGTGATACCTTCCCACGTTGCATATCCGGTGCCGTTACACTCAGCACATAACCACCCGGGGTCTTCTTGAGACCTTCGTTTTCGCCCCTGGCAAAATCGGTGTGGATCATCATCCTGAGGCCCTCGAGTGGGATCGCAAAATATCGTATCGTGAGATCCTTGTGTTGGCGAGCACGACGTAAGAGCATGTTAGCATCTCTTATCTCCTTCACCGTCGGATTCGGCAACAGCTGATGGTTCTTGCTCACCTGGCAAGACGAATCCGGCCTAGTCTGACCTGCCAGCCAATTGCCAGCCTGGTTCATCGAGGTCAGCGCAGACTTCTCCTTTGGCAGCGCCTTGCTTTCATTCTCGGCACATCGTTTCACCTTGACTGGTTTCATCGTTTCGGCATAGGTCCTTTGTGACTGTATGATAGTCCCGTCCGAAATCTGTTGTAACCAAGACCCCGTAAACTCACCAGACCCAATCCTCCACTTCCTCCATGGAAACCGTCGTTTGAGTTTGGCCATCGCAATTTCCCACCTGTCACCTCGTCCTCCTCCTACCGCGTCATCCACATGTATCCCCATCAGCCCACGCATAGCACCCGGAGGTCCCCGAGTAGACCCAATCGGCACACACTGAGGTGTCGAGGGTACAGGCTGTCCAGTCTGCACAGGTTCAAACATAATAAACAGACGCGGATCAAGAGGATGGGCCACGAAGCCGATCTCCTCAGCATATCGCTTGAAAGTCGAGAACCACCGCTGCGGCTGATCCACACCGCCGTAGCCGTTCACAAGTTCGCACAGCTGGTCCGGGTGATGGCCCTTCGGTGTATGCTCCCTGGGTGCTTTCACGAATATCGGCCCATTGGGCCTCTCCTCAGGATCAGCTTCCAGAAACGCTCCTCGGATGTTTCCCAGGACTAATTGAAAACGAGCCGAAGCCACCAGTTGTAGGACCGTTGCCTTCCCTGTCGCTGAGAGCGTAGGACTCTGGGTCTTGCCGGCCCGGGCCATTTCCAGCACATCTGGATCCTTAAAGCCTTGCGCTGTCAGCCTACACCGCAGTTCCGTGCTCCCGTCATCCTCCGATTTGAGAGTCAGCACAGGGCGCGACGGCGAAATGCGGTCCGGAACCTCCAGACGAAGACGACGAGACTCCTCAACGGAACGAGCTTTCCAGGCCTTCTGATCAATGATTAACTTTTGGAACTCCTTCTGATATGCCTCCTCCACCTGACGTCGTCCCTCCTCAGTCTGCCACCTTGGATCCTTCTCACGCTCCTCCTTCCTCCCCCTCGCAAGTAACACGTCAGTGTCCGTCACCGCCAGGATCGGGGCCTCTTCTTCCCCATCACAGGTGACCGCTCCACAGTCAAAAAGGGGCGTCGGAGCCGCCTCAGGATTGGACAACTGAGGCGGGAGAGATGGTGGTGAGCTGGAGTCGGACAGTCCTGGAGGTTCTTCCAGGCGGGGCTGTTTGTGCGGCTGAGGTTCAGCAGGGTCATCGGCGCTCCGAGTTAGCTCTTCCTTCTTCGGGCCAGTCTTCGATCCGAAAGGTACTCGTCGGGGCCCCGTCGGGTGATCGGGGCTTCCTGTCGGCACAGCATGTGGAAAAGAGGACCACATGGAGTCGGGGTACGGGCACCTGGACGAGGGATCTCCTGGAGTCGGTTCGACCGATGACGTCTTCGACGGCGGAGTCGGTGGCGGTGTCGGATCGATCGATATCGAAGGTGCCGGAGTTGGGACCCCATTTCCAGGACCTGGAACCGCCCAACTTGAGTCATCTACTTCTTCTTCTGGGGGACCTTCTGGAGGCTTGGGGCCCTTCGTGATGTCGTCAAAGTATCTCCCAGACAGATTACCCAGGTCTACCGTCGTCGTCCGTAATTCAGCCTCCACCAGCCTCCATGCCGTACGCTCCTCCCATGTAGCCTCCCTCATCTGCTCCGGGGATGCTTTCATCAGGCTTCCAGGAAGAGCAACCCAGTAGTTTCCCCTGACCGGCCCAACACAGATTCCTGGACGCCACCTGTACGACGACGTCTTTCCAGCTATTGCGCCCTTGACCTTGCGCCACACTGCTACCATATCTCCAGCCTGAAAAACACGATGCACCCGCGGACGGCAGTCGAGGGCAACACGAGCTGCCTTCTTCTCGTTGTGCGCCAGGATCACTCGTCGGGCCATCGCGCGAATACTGGCAGCCCTCGCTGCCACAGAATCGTGCAACACACAGCTGTTAGCCACAAGATTCGGGTTCTCCTGAAGTAAATCTCCTGGAACCTCCAGGTTCCTGCCAAACACGATCTGACACGGGGAAACACCTTCCACACTTAACATTGAGTTCTTGGCCTCCTGGAGCTGCGACACACATTCCAACCATTCACCCTCATCTTGTGGCTGAATCTCATCAATCATCACCTGCAACCACTGCTCAAACCACTTACCGTGCACCTCCACTTTTCCGTCCTGTTCCTTCGCCATACCTGCAGTATCCACCAGGATCGTCCCGTCCCGGTCCATGGCATCTTGAAAATCTCCCGACACATGTGCGGTGGCCGCATCTACCTTCATCCACTTGGGCCTCATGTAAGGTCGGGTCCCCTTGTCCCGATACGTGCGAAGCAAAACTTGGGACGACTCTGTCTCTCCGACCTTTAGTGGAGCCATCACGCGGAGAGAGAATGCATCACAAATAATATTGAGACATTTCCGTTTATCCCCCGGGATGTAGTATGGCAGTTCCTTCACATCCATCGCCGCCGATTTTAGCGGAGGCTGAAGTGTGGGAGGAGCGGTATACCTTGCAATGCCGGGCTGTCGGCGTGATGCACAGTCGTCGCAATGGAAATTCGCTGCCTGTCGTAATGCCTCGGAACTCGCATTCGCATGTCGAAGGTGTCGGAGCATCGTCGCAGTCGTCGCATGACCCAAGTTCACATGGGGCCGTCGTAGGGCCGCCCCAAAACTCTGTGGTCGCCTGGGACATACCTCATCATCGTCTCCTCGATCCTCGTCGACGGCACAGGCCTCCACCTCCTTTCCCCCGTCACGGATCACACGCGCCATCGACAGTCCCTGGAGAATTCGTTTCACCACCTTTGTCGGGTAGATCTGAGTCCATCGGGGTAGAGAGATACCCAGTCCTGGCAGAGGGCTCCCACCCTCGGTCCTCACGTGGGCATGGCCGCCGTCGCATGGGAGAGACAGCTCAGCTGCCACCCCCGGTGACGACGTCACGAATTTCCAGCGCTTACTCAGAAGAATTCCTGAAATAGGGCGCCGAACGCCCACGCGACAACCACTCGTCACACCCACCCAGACCCTTGGGTCCTGAAGTAGCCGCTTCATAGCCCGTAGCCCGTAGGTCGCTGCAGTCGGAGGTGCCTCAAAAATGAAGTGCCGGTCGTTAGAGAGCTGATATTCGGCAATCCGGATACATTCCAACACGAAACGCTTGGCTTCCAGGAGTTCCTGAAGATGTCGTTTCAGATCTTTCCGTTTTCCATCTGGGGTCAGGTTCTGAAGAGCCGTGAGTTTTTCGCAGGGAGGTGACATGATAACACAGAAATGCTCTTCTTTTCGGCTCCTACCCCACAGCTCCTGCAAGTCCTGGGGCTGGCGAGCATCCCAGCCCGAGACCTTGTCGAACGACCCGAGGTCGCGCATCCCGTAGTCGGGCGCGCGCGGGCACACCCGCGGGGGCGAGAAGACCTCCATCACCCCGGGCACCTGGTTCTTCACGGCTAAGACCTGGAAGCTGATGTCCTCACTGGTCTGAGGGCGCCGACCCGGCCCTGCTGAAAAGGCATCGGCAGGTCGTCGATCCTCAGCTTCGTCTCATCAACCGAAGTGTCCGGCTTCGGGTTGTCCTCAAACTCGCGCCCGAGCAAGTCCACCTCATAATGTCCACTGCCTTCCGCCTCGCGAACGGGAACTGACGTGTCCAGCCGGCCAAGCCACAGACGATTCTTGCTCATGTCTAGAGTCGCCTGGAGCATCTTCATCACTTGCTTGCTGATCAGGAGTCCGACCTTGCCCTCGATCACGTAGACCAGGATCCTCACTCGCTTCTTGGCCGCGGGGACGTGCCACTGAATCCAGCGCGCCCTCTGACATCTCCTGAGCTTCCCGTCGTAGCTCTTGAACCTGACGCTCGGCACCTCCTCCTCCCACTCCGGTTTCAGGCCCGTTTCCTTCTCATATTCCTCGAGAGCCTCCGAACCGATCAGGACCATACCACATCCGGAGTCAAGAGCACCACAGCCTGGAGCATGACACGCACATGCCTCGATGGTGTCCTCATCTTCGTCAGCCTCGTCGATCTCGTCCGCATCTGTATCCTGCTCCGTCTCTCGTCTCTCGTGTGCCAGTCGTCTGAACTTCTCCTCGTTCGTCAACTTGGCGATGAGGTTCGGCTGTTTGTCTTTCGACCATGAGGCAAGCGGCACGTCTATTTCAGACCACGCACCCTCATCATCTTCATTTGCCGTCGTAGGCTGGGTCACCATCACCTGGATCACTGCTTCCTGTCGCACTGCTCGTTGTCCCTGGTTGAAAGGTCTCTGCATGAAACGCTTCTGGCCACCCGGCTGTAGTCGATGTCGATTTGGACATTCCCGGCTGAAATGGCCAATTTCCTTGCACAGGAAACAGCGGACCTTGTCCTTCAATCGCTTGAGACCCGCTGCATCGCGTCCAGGTAGTCCTCGCTGTAACTTGTCCTTATTCATGGCCGTCCTCGTCTCATTCCACGTAGCCAACACGTCGATCGCGTCCTCCTCGTCCAAGGGATCTTCTTCTTCCCCAAGCAGCTCGTTGATCCCGGCCTCCAACTCATCATCTTCGACCATCGATGTAGTCTCCGCAGCGGATGCCGCGGGCGCGATGGTAGACCTGTCCTCCCAGGCGTTCACCTCGTGGACCTGGGACGTCGGCATCTGCTTGGGGTAGGCCGTCCGGATGGCGGCCGACATCTCAGAAAAGCCCCACTGGCGCTGACTGGCTGCCAGCACGACCGCTCTCCGCTCCATGCCAAGCCGGGCCACCTTCAGGAGCAGGAAGCCCTGGGCCACCAGGGGGAGCTCCACTCCCTCCTTCCTTGCTCTGGCGAAGATCGTCCTCGCTCTTCCCGTGTATGCCGAAGACGTCTCGCCTCGCTCGATGGCCAGCCCGAAGACACTCTCCAGCGCGTCGCCGATCCTGTCACTGGCCTCCTTGTCGGGGAAACGCTCCTCCAAGGCCTGGAAGATCAGATCGGCGCCTCCTTCTCTCTCGATGTCCGCGAGCTCCAGGTGCTCGCATGCTCTCTCTGCCTCATCGTCGAGCAGAGTCAGCACTAGAGGGCCCAGAGCCTCCTTCGCCAGGCCTCTGCT